CTGGACCCCTACCCCAGCTATCTTCGGGCAGTAGGCGGGGGACACCCTGAACTGCTTGCCAGCCAATCACAGCCCTTTCTGCGATCCTACGTGCTAAATCATTTGGAAGACAGTTTATTTTGGTTTCCTAGTAAAGTTTAAAACATTTGCTGCTGGCACAAAAGTGACACTTGAAACCGCGTCCATATTCTGTGGGGTGGGAGCTTTAAGATGCTTCTCGTGGGCTTCCTGATGATCCTCCTGCCATACTTTGATCAAGGGTTGGCAGGTGTCCTGGAACCCTACCCCAGCTATCTTCGGGCAGTAGGCGGGGGACACCCTGAACTGCTTGCCAGCCAATCACAGCCCTTTCTGCGATCCTACGTGCTAAATCATTTGGAAGACAGTTTATTTTGGTTTCCTAGTAAAGTTTAAAACATTTGCTGCTGGCACAAAAGTGACACTTGAAACCGCGTCCATATTCTGTGGGGTGGGAGCTTTAAGATGCTTCTCGTGGGCTTCCTGATGATCCTCCTGCCATCCTTTGATCAAGGGAGTTTCTCCACCTCCACGAGGATGATCACGGCCCATCAGCTGTACAACTACATCACCGACCACGCCAGCATGTACGGCATGAAGCCCCTGCGCATGTCCAAGGCCGCCGTCACCACCGAGGCCAAGAAGGCCGCGCCGGACCAGCACGAATACGCTCTGGTCGCCTTGTGGAACAGGTAGAGCAAGCGCCCCCGCCGCAAACGCCCGAGCTGCCTGACTTGAGTCGGAATTCTTTCCCTGCTCCAGCTCGGGTTCTTACAAGGACCTGGAGGGCCTTCATCACCATGACGACTTTGACGTTTCACTGGTGGTGTGTCACAATGCTGCTCCCTTTGAGGAACAGTCGGAGGGAGAGAGACACTTGCTGAGGTAGGAGAAGCCGATTGAAGCTGGGTTGTTGGAATCTTCCTGAGAGAAAATCGGTGTGGGGGCAGACGTGTGAAATGGCCTGCTGGGATGTCACAAGTTGATCAAATTCTGAGTGTCTCGTTCGGAGACACGTTTTCGCAAATGATCATTTCACAAACGATTTCCTGAAGTTTGGACTTGGTGGGTGGGCACGACTATTTGTATACAGGACAATGAAACGCCATTTTCCAGAAACCTCCCCCTTGAAGACCAAAGTGTGTGTGTGCAGGTTGCACTTCTACGTGATCATGACGAGCCAGCGTGAGCTCTTCCCCCGTCTCACAGCTGACATGCGGCGCTTCAAGAAGCTTCCTCCGATCCACCGTGAGCCCGGCGAGCTGGGCGGACGCCCCGCCCTGGATCGAGCGGAGGCCTGCACGTCCCCCAGCGGCGAGCGGGACCTCTGGGAAGAACCCACCAGGTCCGGGTCCGAGGCCTGCACGCCCAGCGACGGCAATGAGTTCTATCCTTTGGTGGGCGCCGCCGTCCGGTCCCAGGGATTGCTCGACCCGTCCCCGCTGTTCCCACTGCTCAACAGTGAGGTGGCCGCCGCCCGCCGGCAGATCCAGGCCAGCGTGGAGGAAGCCATGGGGCACTGCCGTCGCGACAACCTGTGGAGGAGGCTGTTCCACGGCGAGCACCTGGCACTGGACAAGCTGAAGCTGACCAAGTTGTCCTTCTGCGAGCTGGAGGAGCTGCTGGGGTCTGTCCAGAGCCGCTCTGTCGGGGACATCGACCCCCAGCTGGTGAGAACCGCCCTAATATTTTCCCGGTTAAGGGTTAAAATCAGTGTCCTCTTGCCACAATGGCAAGCCATTGGACGCTGTAAGGTACAGTACAAATTTAGGACCTTTTTTTTTTTTCTGACGGTGCAGGAAGGGGCCACGCCAGTCCTGAAACTTATCGCTGTGTTATTTTGGACAGGAAAGAGTTCTGTGATGTCATAGTTAGACTTGAAAATCATTAACGTGTGAGATTATGGCGTGACGTGTTGCTGGTCTTGGCGTCCCTGCAGGACTGCTTCCTGAATATGAGTACAACCTGGTACCAGAGTCTCATTAAAGTCTTGCTTGGCCGATTCCCTCAAAGTTGTCGCCATTTTGACGACGGCGGCATTCAATACCTGGTGAGACTTCATCTGCCTCCACCCCCTAAAACTGGATAGGTAACTATGCATCCGATCTAACCCGCTGTCTCTTTGTTGCAGGCTGTTCTGAACCAGAAGTTCACGGACTGCTTTGTTTTGGTCTTCCTCGACGCCCAAGCTGGCAAAACGGTGAGTAGTCAAGATGACGTCATCTCTTCCAACCGGTGCATTTTCCATGATTTTGTCTTCATGTTTTTATGCCTTTGTGTCAAAAGGATGGTCTTATCTTTTCACCATGGTAACCACTACCCACGAGCCGTCATCTACTAGACTCCTGGATTTGTGCAGCAAAGGTCCTGAAAGGACAGAGGGCAGGCTGTTAAAGTTAAAAGCAAGTTCCCATCATGATTTGATTGGATTTTCCCTGATGGAGGCAGTACTTCATACACTTTTGATTAAACATTATAGTATGTGCCAGACGCAGTGTACACTCACTTCAACTCAATTTTGTTTAAAGAGCACTTTAAGAACAACCACAGCGGGGAAAAAAGTACTGTATGTAATATGAATCATACGTAAGATAATTGTCTTCGGGCGGTAGGCGGGGGACAACCTTAACTGGTCACTAGCCGATCACAGAATAGCAAAGTGTTAAAGCAATAAATATAAATAGCACATGAAAGCAAGGCCCATTTAGAAATCCATCCATCCATTCTCTGAACCGCTTTTGAAGACTAAATGAATTCTAGAGTACACAGGCAGCCAATGGAGATCATATTGCCTTTGTAGAATATGAGTCAAGCAGCGAAATCCATCTGTTTCTAGCCACCTCAGGGGGCGGCCATTTTGTAACTTGCTGCTCACTGAAAATGACATCACGGTTGCTCAGGGCTCAGATGACGGCCAGTCATGGCTCGCCTATTTTCTGAAGTTCAGCCATGATTGGTTGTTACCTAAGCCCTGAGCAACTGTGATGTCACTTTTAGTCGGCAGCAAGTGGCAAAATGGCCGCCCCGCGAGACGGCTTTTACTGCTTAACTCATATTTCATCCATCCATTTTAAAAATCAACTTATCCTCACGTGGTTGGCAGGTGTCCTGGAACCCTACCCCAGCTATCTTCGGGCAGTAGGCGGGGGACACCCTGAACTGCTTGCCAGCCAATCACAGCCCTTTCTGCGATCCTACGTGCTAAATCATTTGGAAGACAGTTTATTTTGGTTTCCTAGTAAAGTTTAAAACATTTGCTGCTGGCACAAAAGTGACACTTGAAACCGCGTCCATATTCTGTGGGGTGGGAGCTTTAAGATGCTTCTCGTGGGCTTCCTGATGATCCTCCTGCCATCCTTTGATCAAGGGAGTTTCTCCACCTCCACGAGGATGATCACGGCCCATCAGCTGTACAACTACATCACCGACCACGCCAGCATGTACGGCATGAAGCCCCTGCGCATGTCCAAGGCCGCCGTCACCACCGAGGCCAAGAAGGCCGCGCCGGACCAGCACGAATACGCTCTGGTCGCCTTGTGGAACAGGTAGAGCAAGCGCCCCCGCCGCAAACGCCCGAGCTGCCTGACTTGAGTCGGAATTCTTTCCCTGCTCCAGCTCGGGTTCTTACAAGGACCTGGAGGGCCTTCATCACCATGACGACTTTGACGTTTCACTGGTGGTGTGTCACAATGCTGCTCCCTTTGAGGAACAGTCGGAGGGAGAGAGACACTTGCTGAGGTAGGAGAAGCCGATTGAAGCTGGGTTGTTGGAATCTTCCTGAGAGAAAATCGGTGTGGGGGCAGACGTGTGAAATGGCCTGCTGGGATGTCACAAGTTGATCAAATTCTGAGTGTCTCGTTCGGAGACACGTTTTCGCAAATGATCATTTCACAAACGATTTCCTGAAGTTTGGACTTGGTGGGTGGGCACGACTATTTGTATACAGGACAATGAAACGCCATTTTCCAGAAACCTCCCCCTTGAAGACCAAAGTGTGTGTGTGCAGGTTGCACTTCTACGTGATCATGACGAGCCAGCGTGAGCTCTTCCCCCGTCTCACAGCTGACATGCGGCGCTTCAAGAAGCTTCCTCCGATCCACCGTGAGCCCGGCGAGCTGGGCGGACGCCCCGCCCTGGATCGAG